CAACCAAAGAGCCCTTCTGCCTCAAAAGCTGGCATGGACTAAGGTAAACAAAAATTCAGATTTCATATGTGAGCCAGTGGTTTATATTTTTTGAGTGCTTGTCCCCAAGCACTGGCACTGACAGCTCAGAGTTCAGGTGTCCCGCCGGCTGACCAAAAGAGGTGATGGTCATGCATAAAGACAACATTGTGATGTCATGATCGTCATTAACATGTGTTACCATCAACCCAGATACATCAAAGGCATTTTGCACCTGTGGACCTTTTCCTTTTCCCCCCAAAATCAGAGACATGGGTTATTTCATTTTTTGTTTTTCAAACGGACGGAAAGCTTTGCTGCTAACAGCTAAAATCGTTTTGTTCATTTCAGTTTGTCATGGATTACTAACTAGAGGAAGTGGAAGGAATTGGTTATGTACCATGCTACATCTTGTTCAGGAAGGCTATTGCAGACATTTTCTACAACATATACAACTGCACAGTTTACAAAGGATTCAAAACATACCACCAGAACTAAATACATACTTGATGGCATCAAAGTTTTCAATTTAGAGTCTTCATGGACTATCCCACAGTCTCTGGAATGGAGAGTAGCAACGCAGTGTCTTACAGACAAATGTGGAAAAATCGCTATTCAAAAGTTTATTAAATTTGGTCAGTCTTATAGTGCTTCTCGATGGCTTTGATCAGTAAGTCTTTTTTTTTAATCTCTTCCAGTGGCAAACTACAAGACTTCAGTGTACATTTAATGACACAACTGCTACATCATCTTGATTTTATAGCTATTTTTAATATCAAAGCAGCTTAAGCTGTTAATAAATTCCAAAGTTTCCTTTTATTAAAATATCTAAAAGAGGTCTATAAATATTTTTTTTCTAAAAGCGTTCCCAGTTTTTCACATTTAAAACAAATATCAGGTTTTATTTATTTTTGTTCCCTTTCATCAGGTGTGACGAATCAGAAGCAATGTGCTGTTTTTCCTTCCCTTTCTTATTAACCAAATAGGTTTTTCTTTTGTCCTTAGCATGTGATGATATTAACAAAATATATATATTTATACATATACTCCAGTAGGGCAACATATTCCATCAGTGTGTTCCAGAGAGTTTATAATTGTTACCAACAAAACCAATCAGAAGCTTGCTGCCCAGCTGTTCAGAATTCCCACTCCAGGGATTCTTCCCTATTGGCTGCCTTTTCTAGCCGGTGGATGATGTTGTTGAGGTTGGCCATTTTCTCGTGCCTTCGCTGGATGTTTGAATTCAGCTTGACATTCTGCTGTAAAGAGCCTGTATCTGTGGCAGGGACTGAATTCTGAGCCTTGGCAGAGATGGTGTTTGGCAGCGACGGAGAGATGGGAGCAGAGGAGGATGGGACTGGAGAGACGGACATCATGAGGCCTGGAGAAGAGGCAGCCGAGGGCGAGTTCAGAGAGACCTCTAGGCTGCAGCGGGAGGACTCCGAGGCAGATTTAAAGCTAATGGGGTCAGGCTGCAGCCGCTCTCGGCCTTCCGATTCCTGGGGTGGATGTAGAGCAGAGCAGTCAGGGGTCCCAGCTGTGTGCACTTTGGTGTACAAAGTGCTGCTCCTGGTGAGACCGGCAGTGCTTTGAGGGGCGCTCTCGGCCTTCCGATTCCTGGGGTGGATGTAGAGCAGAGCAGTCAGGGGTCCCAGCTGTGTGCACTTTGGTGTACAAAGTGCTGCTCCTGGTGAGACCGGCAGTGCTTTGAGGGGCCTGGTGGTTGTAACCGTCACCCTTCTCTCCTGCCTCCATCTGCTCCTGCTTGACTCTGATCAGGGCCTCGCTCGGTGCTCTGTGCTTCACATCCCTGACCTCAGGCTTCCTGTCCTCCCCCTCCGAATCAGGACTGAGTGGGTTGGGGACTTGGTGAGAACTGCTGCCAGGTGGCACACCCCCACAGCTGCTTGGCTCCAGGTCTGGTTGTAACCGTCACCCTTCTCTCCTGCCTCCATCTGCTCCTGCTTGACTCTGATCAGGGCCTCGCTCGGTGCTCTGTGCTTCACATCCCTGACCTCAGGCTTCCTGTCCTCCCCCTCCGAATCAGGACTGAGTGGGTTGGGGACTTGGTGAGAACTGCTGCCAGGTGGCACACCCCCACAGCTGCTTGGCTCCAGGTCTGTGTCATTGTCTTGGGCCCCTTCCACCAGCATTTCCCGGCGCATCCGGGACCTGCAACATAAGCACAACAGGACTGAAAGAGCAGCACCGAGCACCATGAATGCTCCAGCCAAGTCCCTCAAAGCGGGCAGAGGGTCCCCTCTAATCCCTTCTCCTTGCCAAGGGCCCAGGTAGAAAGTCAGGCGGACTGAGCTACATCTCTCAGGGGAATGAGAGGTGTAAAGCCGATCTAAGCCCCAGTGTTGACAGAGATATGGCAAGGGAAGAATTCTTCTGTCAGCCTAGCTACTGCCTCTCGGGGAGGTGAATTTACTGTGACGGAAGAACCCCTCCCCTCACTGTCTGCACCACAGCATGGGAGCTGTGCCATTGTAGCCTTTCTAGTGTACGGGGCAGTCAAGATTAGAGTAGGCTGAATGGGAAATGATCCGTCAGCCCAGTGTTGACAGAGATATGGCAAGGGAAGAATTCTTCTGTCAGCCTAGCTACTGCCTCTCGGGGAGGTGAATTTACTGTGACGGAAGAACCCCTCCCCTCACTGTCTGCACCACAGCATGGGAGCTGTGCCATTGTAGCCTTTCTAGTGTACGGGGCAGTCAAGATTAGAGTAGGCTGAATGGGAAATGATCCGTCAGCATTTGTGCAAACTCTCCTACTTGTTTGCACACCCCCCCCCCCCCCCCAAGCTGCAATTAGCTTCCATGTGAGTTTTTATCTGACCAGTTGGTTCATTGGCTGACATCTACATGAAACACTTCAATAGAGATTTTGAGGGGGAAAAACCATGTGGAAAATGTTGCAAAACCCAGAAACTTTTTGACAAATTTTCACCAACAGTTTCATGGGGGTGAGGGGAGCAACAAGAGCATTCTTCAGCTAAAACCCTAGCATCACCCTCATACAACCTTGGGGGAGATAAAGCAGCGCATGGCTAAATGCACTGTCCAGGGTCAGATATAAGCCCCGTTGTACTAGCAAAACCATCCGTTCTAGGGGACAGAATTGCTTTAGCTGTACTGGGGTTTCAAACAGATTTTGGTAGCATGGTACAAAACTTGTGCGAAGCCCAGCCCTTGGGATTTGGGGCAAGAGAAACTCAAGCTGATCCTTTTGAAGATGCATTGCATCTGTCTGCACCTTGCTCAAGTGTAATGTCTCCACTGAGTCACCCCTAGCCCCTCACCCCCGCATGCACGCCTCTACCTGGGAAAGCCATCAGTTAGAGGCGCCAAAGGGGTGATTCCTGAGGCACCTGGAGATTGGCAGGAGGAGCCAGGGGTCTGGTTCTAGCCTTTACTATGCAGCTGTGGGATTGGAGGCCCATGCTAGTCACAGAGGAAGAATTGAGACTGGTGGATGTAGGATAGCAGCTCTTTGGAAATGGAGTGATGCTGCATTCTGGACTCCTGACTGCCTTTGTCTGCTGGCTAATACACTGGACAGGGCCAGTTGCGGCACTCGAACCCGCACAGTGCACAAGCCCTGCTTCATTCAGTTCTGCAACAGCAGTGGTGGGTTTGCACATTAGCCAGTGACGGGGCTCTCGGGAAGTGAGCAGCACTAGCTATCAATGCTGACACCAAATGTGCCATCATTCGGTTTCAGAATCAACACACTTGTCTGCTGGCTAATACACTGGACAGGGCCAGTTGCGGCACTCGAACCCGCACAGTGCACAAGCCCTGCTTCATTCAGTTCTGCAACAGCAGTGGTGGGTTTGCACATTAGCCAGTGACGGGGCTCTCGGGAAGTGAGCAGCACTAGCTATCAATGCTGACACCAAATGTGCCATCATTCGGTTTCAGAATCAACACACCGTTTTGGACATGGGCTGCTTGCTCCTCTCTTGAGAGCTGCTTTGGCAAACGTCTTTCTGGGCTGGCCTGGCTGCCGGCACCGGAACCACCCCCGCAGT